CCCCAGCTGATTTTGTAAGTGTGCCCACTAACAAAGAAATGATCATTCTACAATTTCAATGGTAAGTTTATTTGAACAGTGAGAGACACAACAATAACAAAAAAATCCAGAAAAATGCATTACAAAAAAAGTTATACATTAATTTGCATTTTCATGAATGAAATAAGTATTTGATCCCCTATCAGTCAGCAAGATCTCTGGCTCCCAGGTGTATTTTATACAGGTAACGAGCTGACATTGGGAGCCCTCTCAGCTCGTTACCTGTATAAAAGAGACCTGTCCACAGAAGCAATCAATCAATCCAGATTCCAAACTCTTCACCATGGCCAAGACCAAAGAGCTTTCCAAGGATGTCAGGGACAAGATTGTGGACCTACACAAGGCTGGAATGGGCTACAAGACCATCGCCAAGCAGCTGGGTGAGAAGGTGACAACAGTTGGTGCGATTATTCACAAATGGAAGAAACATAAATTAACTGCCAATCTCCCTCGGTATAGAGCTCCATGCAAGATCTCACCTCGTGAAGTTTCAATGATAATGAGAACGGTGAGGAATCAGCCCAGAACTACTCAGGAGGAACTTGTCAATGATCTCAAGGCAGCTGGGACCATAGTCACCAAAAAAAACAGTTGGTAACACACTACGCCGTGAAGGACTGAAATCCTGCTGTGCCCGCAAGGTCCCCCTGCTCAAGAAAGCACATCTACAGGCCCGTTTGAAGTTTGCCACTGAACATCTGACTGATTCAGAGGAAGACTGGGTGAAAGTGTTGTGGTCAGATGAGACCAAAATCAAGCTCTTTGGCATTAACTCAACTTCAGGGCATTGAAAATAGGTTGTGGTTGGGTATTCCAGCATGACAATGATCCAAAACACACGGCCAAGGCAACAAAGGATTGGCTCAAGAAGAAGCATATTAAGGTCATGGAGTGGCCTAGTCAGTCTCCAGACCTTAATCCCATAGAAAATCTGGGGAGGGAGCTGAAGGTTCGAGTTGCCAAACATCAGCCACGAAACATTAACTTGAAGAGGATCTGCAAAGAGGAGTGGGTCAAAATCCCCCCTGAGATGTGTGCAAACCTTGTGGCCAACTACAAGAAACGTCTGACCTCTGTGATTGCCAACAAAGGTTTTGCCACCAAGTACTAAAGCATGTTTTGCAAAGGGATCAAATACTTATTTCATTCATGAAAATGCAAATTACTTTATAACTTTTTTTGTAATGCATTTTTCTGGATTTTTTTGTTATTGTTGTGTCTCTCACTGTTCAAATAAACTTACCATTGAAATTGTAGAATGATCATTTCTTTGTTAGTGGGCACACTTACAAAATCAGCTGGGGTTCAAATAATTTTTTCCCTGACTGTATAACTAGGAAAGTGACTTGACCCTGTCTTTTCATGCTAATACTGCAACATACCGTTATAATGGTGAAAAAGCATATTTGAGTTGTGAATCAGACTAATGAATCTGAACATGTGATTGAAGACACATTCTTTGTACCTGTATCCCATCTCATGTACAATAGATTGAGAAGCTCTTAAAACCTGACCTTATTAAAACAGAGCACTGTCAACAAAGTGTGACCGCCAGCATTTGCGTTTCCTTAATCTAAGATTTGAATAAAATATTGCTAATCTATCTAGATATTCTAGGTCTGCATTAAAGCAATGTTCATAACAGTTTAAAAAAGTGGAAACTCACTGATTCTTAAGATGTTGGACTTCAGATTTTGAGGTAGTCCTCCAAAACAAAAAGTACAGTAGACTGCTCTCACCAGTCACAGCCAAGACAATAATCAGTGTATCCTTTTCACCAGCAGAGGGAGTAAAAACCTCAAAAATATCTCTAAGCTGCCAGGTGGGGAAATGTTTGCAAATGCACCTTTGGTATACAGAAGCTTAATGCAGAAAGCCACTGGACATTTCATGGTAAACCATCCATCCATGAGCATACTTGCTGTACAGTATAACCAAACTGTTCACGCTCTGCCTCTGACTAACCTTAAACCACAATGTCCAGCTTCTTCTGGACCGTGTGTAAAATGCAATAGGCCAAATTTTCACAAATGAGACAGTTTGGACATGCAGGACAATACTTGACCCTATCTTCACCATCAATACTATCTGGACAAGAATGTACCAGTGTTGATGTTCATGTCTAATCCGATTATAAATCATGCTGCATTACAATCCATGTACAGTATAAGCATTTCAGATATTTTCAATGAATAAGATAAAAAGAACACACCAAATGTAGCTTAATGTATAGCTGCCATTTCTACATGACTGGTCTGTCTCACTCAACATTTCACTTCATCTGCATTAATGATACAAATCAGTGTGCATTTGTTTTTTTTAACCCATTCTCTTAAATCAGACCTTAATAAAGCAAGAGTCTCTTCATTAAGTTAAATTCTTAAGTTATTGCAAACTGATTTCAATCTGAAAATGGGCTTTGTTTTCAAATGAGTAAGGGGATCTCTCTTTTTTTTTAGTTATGACAGACAGTAACATGAGGAGCAAGTCACAGGAACCCACCAAAACTGTCAAAACTCCACCAGTAAAGTGACCTCATAGGAAACAACAACCAGCAGCATCCCTCAGGAAACATCTGGGCCAACACTTCAATTCCACAACTTATCAGCACAGAAAAAAACGGGCAAGGGTGGGAGCATATGGCTCCCTACCCTGGTTTCGCTCTTAGCTTTGTGGTAAAGGATTATAAGGGCAACAAGGAAAACACCCTGCAATTCATTGTTTCCACTGAGAACTCCTCTGAGCCAGCAGAAAGTGCACATCAGATTTTTGATTTAAAACCATCCACCTTGATGCATGTGATGCACTTTGCCTGCATATTGTGACCAATACTTTTTTTCCATTGACAGTTGATAAAGTAACTGTAAATTGCAACTTAATGTGGAAAATAGTCAACAGCCCAGGGGCTCACTGTATTGTGTCTTCACAGTCACCAAATAAACAGTCATGTGAACTAGACAGCATCACAAAGCGCAACCCTCCGCTAAGGCAGCTCAGTTCCCCCATAATGCCGTCCCAACTCCAAGTGATACGCTCATGACGGTTTGACCCCAGTGTGATTCTTAGACCATGAAAACAGTGCTCCGGATATTTTTCAGCATTCTAACAGGACTAAGTCTGAAGTGTGGTTGTATCTTGGCTTTAATAAAATGGCAGCAGGTCACGTGACAAGATATACGCCCTGGTGTGGAAGTGTAACCTTTATTTCCAATATCCTGTCTTTCTCAGAATTCTCAGATATTGCACTCAGTCAATCATTTGTTTGTTTGTTTGCTTGTATACTGCCAATAAAAAGTTTGGACACACTTTCCCATTGAATTGAAAGGAACAGGGTCTTCAAACTTTTGACCTGTTGTTTTTTGTTTAGTTTTTTTAATAAAAGAGCAGGTGTTGGTGCTTTGTCATGAGAAAATGATTTTCTTGAAGAAATAAAGTCCACCTAGAATTAATTCAATTCAATTTTATTTGTATAGCACCAAATCACAACAAAAGCCATCTCAGGACACCTTACAAAGTAATATTACTGTTACTAATATTATAGAGAAAAACCCAACAAACCCCTCTTGAGCAAGCACTTGACGACAGCGGGGAGGAAAAACCCCCATTAACAGAACAAACCTCCAACAGACCTCAGCTCCTGGTGGGCAGCCTCCTGCCTCGACTGGATGGGGTGAGTGGATAGAGGAGAGAGAACAACAAGACACAACAACAAACACACACTGGGCAGGATGATGTGGCCAGTGACTGCTCATCAGAGACATAGAGCTCCAGAGCCAGAGCAACCGGCAGAAAGGTACAGGGAGAGAGGAGACAGACAGTTAATGACATGTAATGGGGGCACATAAAAATGGAGAGGGAAGGTGGGAGGAAAGGAGCTCAGCATTATGGGATGACCCTCAGCCTAGGCCTATAACAAAGTTAAGGTGCACCAAACCAAACTTCTCCTAGAATGCATGTCCAGTAATTTCATAGACACAACATACTAAGTACCTTTCTACCCTCCCTCACTGTCCTCCTAGGATTATATTGAAAAACAATATTATTTTAGTCTGACTATAAGCTTTATCAAAAAGGAAACTTCTAATATTAAAGGTAGAGAAGGTGTCTGACTCCTGAACTGAGACTGGGAGCTGGTTCCACAGGAGAGGAGCTTGATAGCCAAAGGCTCTGCCTCCCATTCTGCTTCTGTGGACTCTAGGAACCACAAGTAAACCTGCACTCTGAGAGCGAAGTGCTCTGTTAGGATGATAAGGGTCTACGAGGTCTTTAAGATACGATGGAGCCTTGTCATTAAGGGCTTTGTATGTTAGGAGAAGGATTTTAAATTCTATTCTGAATTTTACAGGGAGCCAGTGGAGAGAAGCCAATATGGGAGAGATATGATCTCTCTTGCTAGTTCCTCTGCCTCCCATTCTATTCCTGTAGACTCTAGGAACCACAAGTAGACCTGCACAGTCTGTGTAAGTTCTTTATTAACACTGTGACATCTTTACACCAAACTTAATTTATGTAGAAACAGATTTCGTATCCTCTTGTTTTCCCAGGAAACTCTGTTAAGTGACCTCTTCTGTAAACCTGGAACTCTGGTATTTGTATTGCGCTGTCCAAGATGGAGTTGCTGAGCCAAGTCTCCATGAAGCATAGAGCAGCAAAGCATGAGAAGTCAGAGTTAGTCTGGTTTGAAAAGAAGGAGTCAATCCCTTTTGTTGTGTAGAGAGTGGAGATTCGCTAGATGGATAGACAGGCGTGGTGTCTGGGTCCCTCTCTGTCCTAACTTAACCAATGCTCCTGCTCTCATTCTTTGCCGGCATTTTCTCTAAGTCCCGAAGGCTCCTGTCCCTCTGACCAGAATGCCCACACAGCTTTTTGCATTAGCAAAAATTGGTGAAATGGTGTTTGGAGTGAGTTGTCTGATGTTTAGTAGCTCTTTTCTGGTGAAATTAATCCGGTATGGGCTGCAGAAGTCTGAGAAAATGAGGAAAAACAACAAACACATGTGAACGTGCACTACCAAGGCAGCCATATGTGGTGCCATGATGTGATATTCCTGTTTTCCACTCGTTATCAAATGCACCACATATTTATGGATCTAAAAAAAAAAACCCTCACACACAAGCGTAGCATGATTCATGTGTGTCAGGTGATCTGTGCATGTACATCTAACAATCTGTATATACACTTTAAGAACTGCACACAGAAGATTGTTTTTACACATCTGTAAATCGGGATTTTATTTGTAGATCAACACATTTGTAGCCTTCATGTGACACACACAAATTGGTTTTTACAGTTTTCTGACCTTGACTGCATTTGTAAATTGCTGAATACACATTTGTGGCTAGTTATGAAAGGATTTTACACCCATAGTTTAACTACTGTAGACAGGCTATGACTGGGATGGATAGTGATGTAAATTTGTTTCATGGTTTGGGTACTTTATTCAGGTGTTTTGTTGGCTTGTTGAATTGAGTAATCAATACATCTCACCTTAATAGGTTACTGTCTTATTTAATCTGCTTCAAAAATGGAATCACTCATTTCTATAAATGCTCACTTGTAAAAAAATAAAATAAAATAAAAGCCTGTTGTGCAAGAACTTACAACTGGCACAGCCCATATGAAACAGTGTTGTGATGTACAATTGTCAGTAGAAATTTTCACTAGTCTAAATTAAGGATCCCATGGCATGTTCATTTCCAGCTATTTAATGTTTAACCTTGGGTACCTCTAGATTAGCTTCCACACATCATAACTCCAAATAGTCTGTAATTATTTCAGAATGATAAAACCTGCCACAAGCCATCAAAACAAACAGGTACTGTGCTTTGGGGGACTCTGGAGTTGATCATCTGATCATTCTTTGGCCCAGGGTGCTTCACTTGTCAGCTGCTTTTAGGTTTCCAGCGCCTCTATTCAGGCCATGTTAGACCCGGTCAGGTAAAAGTGCGATGTCAGGCAAGCACACATGAACGAGCACTGCCTGGAGAATATGACCATTCAAGAAAATCCATAACTATCGCAGAAGACTAAAAAAAAGTTTTATCAGCAAGAGTTCAAGAAACTTGTATAACCTGAATTGCTTCTGCATAGCAGTACAGCAACATACTGTAGATACACCTTGTTTTTTGAGCTTTCAGTCATGTTTAAGATGATAATTTACATTTTAACACTGTAGGCAAGTCAGAGAAAACAGAAAGGCATGCCATGGACTTTTTAAACTGCTGATTTAAGAGATATTTTGATAACATCTTCTTCATAATAATACTTCTCTGTAATTCAGGCCAGTTCGTCCTTTACAACATGGCGGTCGATACCAAAAATCCAAAACGCTGAAAGCTTTGTGTTGCAAGTTCAAACTTGGATTCTTTTTGAGTTGTTTTCTATAAATCTATTAAGCAAATGTGGCTGTTCACATACTCTGATGCCTTGATTTTTTATGTTGATTTCAAATATGAAGGGACGTTATTTGTATGCTTCAACTGAAGATTGGCTATGCTTCTTTAGTACCCACCTGAACCAAAACAATTCCCCTGCTAAAAGAAATTAGGCTTCCAACATCAGCAATCAAGATGCAGTAAAACAAGTGGCACTGTATGATCATTTTGGAGGATGTAGTTGGAGGTGCTGTTGAATCGTAATGTGCTAAACTGACAGGTGACGCTATCGTTTAGTCCAGCCGAGTTATATCAGAATAAATATAGTAACCAGTGAAAATACACCAAAAACTACACCATAAACAACATCCTCCAAAATGATAATAAAGTTTATCCAGCTCATTTGTATCAGCAAGGCTAGGATACTGTAAATAACACCAACTGAAGATTATAATGATTTGCTGGATTGCTGTATCAGACTGTGTTCATTTTACTAACATATAAATGGGCTTAAAAACTGGGAACTGAGTGTATCAACTTTATTTTTCGAGGTCAGTGTCAAACGCTGCATTTTTGTTAGGAGTCATTAGTGTATAATACTATGATAGCATCCCATACTGTATGTGTAACAACATGACAGTGCACACACCAACTGACCTTTTTAGATCATTGTTTTACTTGGAATAGTAGATGTGACAGCAACAGCATCCAGGAGAAAAGTCACAATTTATACCTCTAAATTTCAATTAAAAGTTTACTCAATTCTATAACACAGCAATATTACACATTAATAGGTTCTTTCATGACTAAATTAAACCATATTCACCTGTATCAAGGAACTGAGGTACAACCCAAATGAATACAGTATTAGCACATATACTGTATGTTTGACCATATGCACCCATAATAAATCAGCATAGCAAACAGCCCATGAAATAAAATCAGGTATACCATAAAACATTCCTCTAAAAGCACAGATGTGTCATTTTCACACCATTAATTGAATTGAAATGGACAATAAGAACTTTCCAGAGCAAACAAAAATACATTAAATCAAATGAAAATGCATGTGTCACATTAACTTGTGCAGTAATCAAATTTAGAACAAGGACATGTGACGATGTCTAGTGCAAGAAACAGCAGCTTTCACTAATCATTGGTTCAGCACATTTGGCCCAAACTAATAATACATTTGAGCATTCTGTGGAGACATCTGATTTAAAAACATGAACTCTCACAAGTCCCATAGGAAACTGGAGTTTACAGTGATTGCACAGAAAAGACAGTAATAGTTAATACAGCACAATGTAAAAGAACTGATTCACACCAGCATACTAAGCAAGGTAGCTGGTCATGCACATCATGCCTGAGTCAACACACCAAGCTACAAGTAGCAGCCCACACCATGTGACATTCATCCCATACAGAAGACAATTTCATCAAAACACCTCCTAAAACTAAAGAGGGTGGATTGAAGCCCTTGTGCGTGAGCCCCTGTCCTGTCAGTTGCATTCATTTCTTCTGACAGTAGTCCTTGTAATTGCTGCAGGCCTTCTGCATGTCTGTTAAAAACCCTGGATTGAGACTCTGTAAAAACAAAAACAAAAACAAACAAACAAAAAAACCACAAAAAAACATATGCACAAAAAGTCACTATCAGTGAATGTTATGAGCTTTTGCCAAGAAGACCCACCCAGGAGGGGCAACGAGGTTGACGTCACCCTGCAGCACATCCGTTAACAATAATGATGGAAAACCATAAACCAGGCCGAGGCATGTGAGTGAACCCTTTAAGAAAATAAAGCCCTCGGCAAACATCTGAGTTGGTCAACAACAAACGAGATTGTGACAGGCTGATTTCCACATTAATGAAAGTTTGAACATTAATTGTAATAAATCTAAATACACAATATCATCAAAAGATTTCAAATTGTCTGATAAGAGAAACTGAAAAATATGTAAACAAAAACAATTAAATCATGAGTAAGGTTAAAACACAGTATCCGTACACAACCGCCACCTCAGTTTCATACACCCCGATCTGTGTTTGTTTTCTTTCCGTTCTGTCTTTCGTCTTTCATCTAGCATAATTCCCACAGGCATCCATTTAATCACAAAAATACCCCACTTTATTGTGAAATATCCTCAAACAAAACTGGTTTGCATAAACAATTTTTATGTCTACTGCACCTCATGCAAAGGTTTTGTGGGACATGTGCTAGTCACTATGTTGTTAATTTACTTCTAAAACATGAGAGCAAAGAGTCACATCTTCACGGTTATTGATTTAGTGAAAACCTGATTCAAACTAGTCACGTTCAATTATACTTTATTTACATCACTGACAAAATTTTTGCATGCATCTTATCTGTATATGTTCAGATAAGCGAGGCCAGATCCCCATAAACTACTTTATGGGTCAGTCAGGTTTAAAGATATCCAATGTTGTTGATTATTTACTTATTATACGGGAATGCACTCACCTTAGCTGCCCAGTTCACCAGCCAGGTGGGAATCATACCACCGGGGTTGTCAAAGTAATGAAGGAAAACTGAAACAAAAAACAGGTTCATTCTTCATATTAAAGCTCCAACAAATGATTGTTTCCATTAACCAAGTCACTAATAACAAGACTGCAATTACTTTATCATGAAAATATGATAATATTAGACATTTCCATCCATTTCCATTGATTTTAATGCTGATGACAAAAGAATCACATCACTGAGGTTTGATAAGACTGTAACAGCCCCCAAATCAACACATGAAACAACAACGACGACGACAAAAATCACGTGTTCTGCATTGTTTTCTGTGGTTTGAAATTTGAAGTGCTCTTTTAATTATGTCATCTCATTGCACGCTGTTCTTTTGTAATGGTTTATGATGTCTGTTTGTTTTGAGTCTCACTAAATCCTCTACCAGCTGAAAATTAAATTAGGTCCAGTAAGTTTAAACAATTAGCCATCTAACAAAATAGTTTGATTTTCAATCAGTTAATCAGCTAATTATTTTAGCACAACTTGATACTACTTCATCATGTGTTACCTTTAGTTCCACAGGCACCGTCGCTCTCCAAGGCGACACTCTGTTTGTAGGTGTTGACCCGCAGTATACCACGCCTCTCTGCACACGGCGTCTCCGGAGAGCTCCTGGCCAGGATCACCCAGATCTTCCTGCCGTCCATGTCCAGGACTCTCCGCTCCCTCACATACACATACTGAGGTTTGAACCATTAGAGAAAACCCTGGTAAAAGTATGATTCTGGGGAAAATATGCTTTTTCAAAGCTGTAAACAATAGGGAAGGGAAAAAACATTTAGTGTCCACGTCTGTTTGTCCATAACTTTGTCTGTGTGCTGAATGTATTTGACCAGAAGGATACGTCTCTGTTTGACAGAGGGAATGGGTATTTCACTTCCCAGTAAATTGCCACATGTCCATCAAAGTCTTTCTCATAGAGTTCTGAAAAAAAAAAAATTCAAAAAAGGTCAAATAAGAAGCTGTTAAATATTTTAGTTAGGCCTGCAGTGTGGACTTCATTAGATTAGATTAGTCTAATGCGATTTAGATACTTTCAGAAATGCGAAGACTGATTTTAGCCAACATAACCTCAAGCTAACAATCATGTTTCCATTGCAACATGACAACTTCTGACCAGGGAAACCAACTTAGGAAAAAAAAAAACTAATTATGAAAGCTTTTTTCCCTAACAGTGTTGTGGGCAGCGGGTAATGAGAAGCTCACACTGACCAACTGATTTAACAGGGTAAATCTAAGGTAAAATTAAATTCATATCATATTTTTAGGGTTAGACAGCACAGCAAATACTACACATTTATTACTTTGCTACCACCATAGACAACAAGTGCTACTCATACAGCTACTAAAACCATATAGATTCATGCTGGATATTTGTTTTTAACACAAGGATATGCCTACAAAATAGAGCCACTACTTATTACCTGCAGGTTACTGTAAAGGTGTGTGAAGAGTGAGACAGGAAAAATAAAGAGGTTACTTCTGTGTTTAAAGCCATGCATACATGCAGAACATTTTCCCAAGATAAGGAGAACTGGCAAGACTATGACAGGATAAGGCATGTGTGCCGCATCCAAAGGACAGGCAAAACAATTCATCAGTGGTGAATGAATACTAGTTCTTAGGAAGAAGAGAGTTGAAGGAATGTTAATGTGCATGTCAAGGACATTAGGGAAGCCTTGACTTAGAATATACTTTTTTACCTTTCACATATTGATCCCAGTGTTTCCGATAGGTCAAGTCCATGTAGACATCTGCACACAGCTCTGACGTGCAGGTGGTGAGCACACCAAAGATTTTGTACTCATAAAGTCCAGTGTCCTGAAAACAGCACATGAAAGTTCTCTCTTCCAGCTGCAGGCTCCGTTCCACACCCCTCAGTGTCTAACTGTGTGTTTGGCCCTTTCTCGCTCAGAGATGAACCGTGTCCATTTGATTCAGTTCAGAAACGGGTCTAAAAGATGCCTCTCTCACACTAAAATGCAATAAAGCTTACAAACAAATTTGTGGCTGAAATCATGACAACTTCGGTAGAAGTAAAAGTCATACCAAACTTCATTTAGCAGTTTAAGCTTACCTAGCTTTGTCCAGCACAAAGCATCAAACCTAACTACAGTAATTGTTAGATGTGCTTAATATATTAGCTTCTTGATAATGAGATGATGCACTGTTGGGGTTTTCTGAAGTCAATCGAGGTCCCACCACAACTTTATATGAACATAGTTCAGTGTTGGAAATGTTCAAACAAATTAGGAAACTGAAATTATTTATTTAGGACAACACTGTTGGCGGTAATACCAGAGTCAGTGTAATGAACTGCTTATAGTATATATCAGGATTTTTAAAATCTTTTATTCTGTTAGATTATACAAAAATAAATTTCCATGCAAGTACCTTGTGGAAAATTCGGAGAACATTTTACTTGGCCAGTTTAGGCCTACACTTGTGTGTGTGTTATGTTAGGCTGCCTAGAGTAACTGCCTAGATGTGTCAGGTGTATGTGGAGGCAATGTTAGATTGAAACATTTCTAAACAGAGTTTGGTGTGACCCGGTACAGCCGGTTTCAGAGTCACAGAAAAGCACTAAGGGCCAGTTCCAGAAAGCAGGTGTGACAGACTCTGAACCTAACACCTGACCTGGGGAACTTAACTCTTTGTTCATGATGAGTTAAGTACATGTGAGGTAAATGAGAAAATCCATCACCAGTGGAGCTCAAACGCTGGCATTCATCAACAGGTAAAGGAAAAAAAAAAAGCCAAAACCTCTATTTTAATCCAGTAAATCAAGACAGACATTAATGTGTGATAATGTACAAACATAGCAGCAGCAGTGAAAGAGCCTGAGCTGGAGCAGAAAAAGACCTAATAAGTCAATGCTATTGCATTGGAGTCCACAATATTTTACATACTTGATTTTCGTTCATGGATGAGATTTTAGTTGTACCAATTTCTTTGTGTTGATTAGCATCAGTTGGCCTTTTGTGCTCCTTTGTAGCCTGTCTCTGTTATTGTGTTTCAGTTCTTTTTTTGCTGCAGAACAACCAGTCATTTAAATATCTTTACTTAACCTTTTACATGTGGTTACTTATCTTACTCCCCCTTTCCCTAACAAGGATCATAACAGGTACATTAAATCAGCTGTAACCTGATGGAGACAAGTGCCGCTGGCAGCAGAAGATCGATTCAAACAGTTAAGACATAAGCTGACAGTTGTCTCAATGTCTAAGTCACAATGCTATAAACCAGGGGTGGCCAATTCCAGTCCTTGGGGGCCGCTGTCCTGCTTGCTTTCCAACTATCCCTGCCTGACCTGCTGCTGATTACCTGGCTCAGGTGTGTTCAGCCAGTCAGAAGCTGAAAGATACCAATTCACTTTATCTTTCCTCACCCCACTTTCATCTAAGATGGTATCTTCCATCTTCCACGTGGAGTGAGGAAAGATAAAGTGAATTGGTATCTTTCAGCTTCTGACTGGCTGAACACACCTGAGCCAGGTAATCAGCAGCAGGTCAGGCAGGGATAGTTGGAAAACAAGCAGGACAGCGGCCCTCGAGGACTAGAATTGGCCACCCCTGCATAAAGACAGGTCATGCATTTTAGAAACAGTCCCTAACTTCAGCTCCTCATTTCCCACGGTGTTTTCCTCAACTCAGCGTTAACAACCTCACAGTTTCAACCAACCCATTTTCTGGAACACACCCCGGCTCTCCATTCATTTCCGGGTATTTCCTGTATTTGCCGCAGATATCACTGCCGACGTGCTTATGGACGCTGTCTACACATGGCATTAATTCATAACAGTGTGTAATTGTGGAAAGGGGATTGGAAACGAGCGATAACGCCGATGCTACGGGCTCTGCAGAGGAAACACAAACCGGTACTCATTAATTCATTCAGTCAGTCATTCGCAGCCGTGTTGCTGTTTATAAAAGCAGTGTTATTCATTATGTGACCTTGTCGTAGAGCCGGTAGATTCTGATCCCCATCGTCTCGGTGAAGAGCTCCCATCCTCCCTCCAGCTGCGGCTCGTCCAGCTCCCTCCATGCTTTCTGAAACTCCTCATCTGTAAACTGCAGCGACATTGCGGCTCCTCTCTCAACAGCTGACTGTCATACGGCAGCGAGAGACACACCAGGCTTCCGGGCACAGCCTTCAAAATAAAAGTGTTAGAGTCCTAATCCAATGGGTCTTTTTTAATTAAAAAAAAAAACTGCATCAGTGTCTTAAAGACTTTCTTGTAAATACAAATGGTAGGGTATGTATGATATATTTCATGATACTTTTTTTTTTACTTTTTTCAAATTTTGTCTTTTATGTACCATATGTGATATAGGCTATAACATAACATAATAGTATAACATCTATACCAATATTTGCCCAGCAACATTTTAGTTATATAGTGCTATATTTGCAGAGTAGCTACACAGTTTTGTTTTTATGGTACAGCCCTACACTGTAAGTGTAGAAACACAATGTATGAACACAAACTACAAGCAGCCATATTGTTACACACTAGGTTAGATAGGCCTAAATGAAATTCTTCACCATAAAAGTTTTAATTTGTGATTATCATGTTGCTGGTTTGTTATATATATATATATATAAAAACTTGTCTGACAGGACTGTGCCATGTTTGTCACAGGAGTGGTTCAAATTCCAGCCAGCAGCTGAGCACCATTACCCTGAAAAATGTCTCTTTTTATTTGAGAAAAGCGATGACAAAAACAATCCCAGTTCACATTGTTTGTGGAAGATAATCAATGGTATGCCACAGAGATCCCCTAAACAGAATGGAAGGACAAACTGTAAATCTATAACCAGTATGTAGGCTACCAGATGTTTGTTTATTTCAGGCTTTAAATAGTTTGGGGGTCCTTCACGCAATCATGTCAACACCATTTCTGGTCACACATGCTTTAGACATTTTTGACAGTGTTAGGTCAGTATGTATATCCAGATATACACCAAAAAATCAGTCAAGAAAGATATTTGACATCTAGCAGGACTGTTTAGCTGATTTTAATTTCATTTTACTTAAGTCATAGAATTTATAAAAATTTGTGTTTAGCCATGGATGTTCCTGATCACTGTGGGTATATACAGCTTAATTAAAATCTGTTTAGTATTTAAGTATTAAAGAATGTGATAATAAATTGCTTCCTGATTGGATTATTTTTGCTTTCTACAATGAAACATCCCGTGAAAAGCAGAACACATAATCCCCCTCATACGTCTAGCCTGAGGAAGATATTTTCTCATAAAGGGTTTCTGTCAACAGTACTAAAAAAAAGGAAACAGAACTTCTGCTTCACATTTTAGGCTGAATTTCTACTGTGCGTCTCCCAATAGATGTTCAAACTCACAGGAGGTGTAGCGGCTGGATGGGTGCATGGATGAATCTGCATATGGCTACAAACAATACAACTATAAAATAGAAAAAGTATATTTAAAAACAGGGTATGCCATTCCTAAAAGAAGCCTGCAGCTGCTGCACAACAATGATTTCCACCCTTTCACATAATTAAAATTGTCAGTAAAATCTTAAGCCCCTCCAGGTAACCAAAAATAAAATCAGCAACGGAAATGCATTCATTTGATCTTCAAAATAAATGTACCCATTGAAATGGAAGTTATTACTCTAGTAGCAATACCCTTCTATTTTGAAATCCATAACCAGAAGTAGTAATTTTCCATATCATTTTCAGCTTTACAGCCCAGTCATCGATACTTATAGTTGTTCTCAATGGGGATGGGAGCTCTGAACCTGAGGACTTTACAGCAGGACGTTTCTCATGAATGGGAGTCAGATTCCAGGCCACAGACACAAGCTGCTTGTTGTTGTTGCTCAGAGGAAAACAACCTTCACTTTTAATCAGGTCAACCAGGTTTCACTGGATCACTGGTATGGAAAACGGCTGTGAGGTAACTTTTCTTCTATCCAGAGCCTCACAATGCATGTCAAGTAGATGTAGGACACCACAGATAACAAGTAACCATTTAGATTAAAAATGCAGTTCATTCATTTATTAGCACCTCTATATAAGGACAGTTATTTCTGTAGTTTACGTGGCATAAGTGCAGATTTATTTGTCTGTAAATTTACAGGACTTGTTTTTAAAATAGGAACTCTATGCTTATCTTCAGATACAGGCTAATACAGCCTAAATACATAGGCTACCTTTAACTTCAACCCTACTCTCAAAAACATCAAAAAGCATACTGTTGGTTGTAATGTAGACTGTTAAATTCTGCTCTGATGCTTTTTTCTGAGTAATGGAAAGCTGCAGTGATTAATAGATTGGTTAACAGACAGAAAATTAATCAGAAACTATTTCAATAATTAATGATTAATTTTGCTCATTTGTAAGAAAATAAATCTCTAAAATGCATTTTTTTTGTTTGTTTTTGTTTAGTATTGTGTGATAGAAAACTGATTATCTTTGGGCTTTAGACTGTTGGTTGGACTACACAAGACATTTGAAGACCTCATCTTGAGCAGTAGGAAATTTGTGTGGGCATTTAGACTGTTTTCTGACATTTAATAGACCAAACAAGTCAGAAATGAATCAATAATGAAACAAAAAGTCATATAATATTAAACTGAAGACAAAAAGTAAAAAGAAACACACCTGTACAGTAAAGGGGAACAGTTGTTGTTGTGTAGGCTGCACTGTTTAGCAAATGAAGTTAGCTTAAAAGGAAGATTATCAAAAGTGACTAAAGCAACTTACCCACTAAGATAAGAACAGGCCTGCTGGAAGCTACGGGAATACAAAGCTTGTAAAATGTAAATTGCACTGATTTGATGGCTGGTTCCCAGTATTGTTGCAAGTTATGTCTGTAAGCTGTGTTTAACCGAAGAAAATCCCTTCTCAAATACGTTCATTTAGAGAATGTTGTAAAAAATCTCCAGTGTTTCACAAGAAGAGGAACATCAGAATAAATATCCAAAACACAAATTCATGTAGGAGAAATGTTTCCTCTTCTTTTTCACCTTTATTTATCTGGTGATGCCTTGCAGGGCTATAGCGAGATGAGAGTCAGTACAGTGTGCCAACACCCCACCTTCATATCCAACTTATATATCTGGAATTGATTTGAATTGGCCAATTAAATACAAACCATGTGATATTTTTTAATGTACAGAATGTAAACTCCCTTTATTTCCCTCCAAATACAGAGGATGTACAGTATAGTAGATACTGTATAGTGCTGACCCCTTGGCAGGGCCTAACTCCCAGGATGGCAGCCACTGGTCTATATGTAAGATGTTAGAGTAGCTTTTAAAACCCAGAGGTTGATGGAACATCTGACTGAAACTCTACTGCCCAATTATTGTCACCTGGAGTCTGGATCATGGCTTTGCACACAGCAGACCAGAGGGGGAAAGAATGAGTGCTTGTGAAACTGCGGGTGATTTTGAAGCTCCTCACATTTCACAGAGAGGTTTGTAATGTCATATCCTGTGCTCTTCTGGGAATGTCTCAGCTCACGCTGGGCCGGGTGGTCCTGCGTCATTCAGACAACTCCTCAGACAGGGTCAGGATTCAACAAGGATTGTGCAAAGAGGTTATGTGGGTTTATTAAAGCAACATTAGTCAGAAAGGCATGCTGAATTGTGAAATGTGCAGTTGAATTCTACGTAAAAATGTATTTACAAGCCTTTGGTTTTCCCTTTCCAAAGCTGTGTTGAGCAACAAGGTTGACTCTTGGGTTTCACTGCTCCCTTTCATGAGTGGTTTCTTTCTCCACATAGGCTGGGGGATCCTAGCAAGGAAAAGAGGCAAAAGGGCAACACTGAGGAACCATCTGTGTTTGGTTAACAGAAGGCTGCTGGATCCTGCAATGCCAGAAGAGGCTAATAAGGATGCCATGAGAATGCTAGTAACCCCAGAGAAGGCCAACAGTGAGCATCCTGCACCCACCATGACAACAGTTAACATTCCCCTGGTCAATGAAGTCCAGTTGACCGCAGCTACCGGTGGGACTGAGCTCTCCTGCTATCGCTGCACCATCCCGTTTGGAGTGGTGGTTCTCATTGCAGGTATTGTAGTAACTGCTGTGGCTTACAGCTTCAACTCCCACGGATCCACAATCTCTTACTTTGGGCTGGTGCTCCTCTCTGCCGGACTGCTGCTCTTAGCGTCCAGCGCTGTCTGCTGGAAGGTGAGACTGGCAAGGAAGAAGGAGAAGCGACGAGAGAGCCAAGCCGCTCTGGTTGCCAACCAGAGGACTATTTTCACTCGAATTAGTGATTATGAACAATACAAATCCTGATTTCTAGAGTCTGAAAATGCCTTATCTTGAGCTGCTTTGTAGCTGGATGAGAACCAGCTGTAAGCAGATGTTCTCCAGCATGTGTTGGTTTTCTGACTTGTAAAAGCTTTGACCACAAACTCTCAACTCCCAGAACTTAAAGCTTTGAAGACATTGTATGGGATTTATTTGTCAAACAAACGCCAGGCATCTGGCGGGCTGGGCACACAGCCAGAAGGAATGTATCACAATTAAAATGAATTACCATTGTGCAAAGCGATGTAGAGGAAGTCTCTCATTAATCTGCTTTTGGATGTGGTGGTTTTGATTGTAATGGGAGGGACAGTGGTTTGAAAAGCGCAGGAAAGGAGAGGGAAACTGGAAAATCTAGGACAATGATTGATGCCTCGTTTACTACATTTGCTTCACTTCAGATTGTTCAGCTCACAGATAACGACAGTAAATTGCCTGTTATAGAACTATGGTACTTTACATTAAGTTTTTCTTTAAACTCTGCCCATATGTTTTGTTTAGCATGTCACATTAGATGGCAGATGATATTATACGCTTAGAGGGAATATTTAACCTTAAATACATATGTTCTTAAAGCACTTTGATCTTTTATAATCATCCTATTTAGTATTAAACAACTTGTTTTAACAAATTCAATAAATGATACATCAAAATTGCGAGTAGTATTACCTACTGTGGTGAATTTGGAACAAAGAAATTGTGTTGTGGCAATGATCTTGTTGTCTGCAGTGTAATCCATAATGTAAAAAAAAAGCAATGTAGCATACTGATTTGTTTTGATGTAATCATTTGCATGTGTTAACTGTTAACTGGACATCATGTGGTTTATTAAAGTTATGAATGCTTAAACATGTAATTAGTGTCACAGTTGGAGGAACAAGTTTCAGCATTAATTAGAGCTTGACTGACAGGAATGTTGGGGTGTTCAAATACCTTAAAACATTAAGGTTTATGTTCATTTTTTTTTAGGAAATCTGCTTTTTTCTGCTTCTATGTAAGAGCAGAGATGAGAAGATCAATATCCCTCTGATGCCTGTGTGTTGAGCTGGAGCTGTGGTTAGCCTTGCTTAGCCTGAAGACTGGAAGCATGGGGACACAGCCTGGTCTCTGTCCAGACTTCAAAATTACACCTAACAACACCCTAGGACCTTATTGGTCTTCCCAGTTTACACATATGAATGTGAACCATCAACACAAAAGATGGTATCTGACAAATAAAAAAGTGAACGTAGCCTTAGTTAACATGTCTCGATTGTTTAATACGTACACAAACAGAAATCTGATAACTTTTGGTTTACGTGCTGTAATCATTTCTTGATGAACAATTGTGTAGCCATCCACCCAGTGCTTTGTGTCTGGTTTGATAAGTCAGCTTTACAGATTGCTAGTATATGTATGTTGGAACTGTTCCCCTTGCTTATTATTCTAAGCTAAGCAGGCCATGTCCTGATCCCAGCGCCAACACAGATATGAGGTTGATATCAATTCTGTCGTAGCTGTCATAAATACATTTCCTCAAAACTTAAACTGTTACTAAGGCGTGTACTGAGTTGGGCATTACAGCTGAAAAATAAACCTGTCAGTGCACTCTGCTGGACAAACTAGGTAATGGAGGCAATGTTCCTTTCCCCCAAGTCATATAATTTGCCATTCTTCAGTTTCTTGGTAATTAATCAACCAACATGTAGGCTACATGTAACCCTGATATACTGTATCTATTACAAACTAATGTCCTCTCTGAATTGGCCAGGCTTTTGTTTATAGGAAATGTGACTCTTGATGAATTGACGTCAGTGTTTGTGTTTCTTAGAAAAGATTTATGGGTTGGACAAGTGATAAGTTATTATATTAACTCAGCTCCTTGCTTTCAGTGCTGAATTGAAGGAAGTGTTTGTTTTTTTTTTACATGGGTGTGCCTAAGTCTTCACACATAAATATACAGACTCTACCTTATGTCTGTTATTTAAGAAATAAAATGAAAGCTCTGCATGATTCGGTGATCACAGAGTCATAAATTCTTGCTCAAGAGACAAGGATAACAATGCAAACGAGTTGTGTGAAGCACATAGGTAACTTGAACAGAGGTGACAGAGATTGACGTCACTGATAATGAAAGATATTATAAGTTACAACCCTAAGGTGATAACAGCTGGTTATGTAACCACAAATAATACAAAATTCCATACTCGCTCTACGTCACATAGCTAAACTAAACTCTCTATGACAACTGAGCAAACCAATTTACCAATGCGTTGCTATTTTCAAGGTCAAGAACAGTCAGTCTGTATGTCTAATTAGTCTTTGGGGGGTAGCTGACCCATTAATACTGTATTTTCAGCTTGTTTTTTTGCCCCAAATTTTGTTTTAACACCCCTGAGTCAAATCTTTTTTTTTTTTAAAAAGTAAAAATAAATAAATGATTTCATTCACATAACCGCCAGCTCTCTACTCTGCTGGAATTTAACGTGTTAGAATGTAAAATCCCAGTGGTAAAAGGAAGTTGAACTCTGCTGTTTGACCCTGTTAGTTTTAAAATAGCCTGGACGTGGAAGTATATTTATAGGCAGCAATTGCGTTGCTATGCATCCCTGTGACACCAGACACTACAAATAAATGGTTTCCTTGCGTCAGAGGAGAACCTGCAACACACTTTGACACTTTTGGGAGATCACCGCCACACATGCAATCAGCTATAGGCTGGTACCATATGGATTAGTAACGCATTGGTGGGACACATGACATACGTAGCTAAGGTGTTGCCTCCCTGCTGGTCAGGTTAGCAGAAGGACTGATCCTGAAGCTGGAAAAACAGGTGACTTGATATGAAGTTTGACAGGTGCACCAGTGTCTTTACTCTCTTTACATGCTGCTGGCACCTCATGCAGGGACTGTGTGCGTCACTTTTATTGTGCCTGACGTGGCTGTGATTCCACTCAGCTCCACGCTGCTGGGTTTGTTTGTTGATAAACAGCATAGAACTCTCAAGTCCTTTAAGTGGAATTAATTTAGTTTTTCAGTTTTGTTTGTACAGCGGCAAATCACAACAAAAATCGTCTCAAGGAACTTTACACACTAAGGCCATATAGCATTAAGAAGAAAAAAACAACACAATTACAACAACAAAGACATTTTTATCAGCAGCAAAATAGTCCTAAGGTATTTACAATGTGTTATTTATTAAAAATTGGTTTTCACTGTTGGACCTACATTCTGAGTAGTTGGACAGGAAGATAGAATGGATAGACCAGAAATGATAGAATGGATGGAAAGAAAAACAAACAGATCAGGATAAAAGGCGCAGATGGGAGGAGAAACACGAAAGAACTTAGGAAAGATGACAATATAACAAGGAAAATACATTAAGGAAGAAGGATGCAGAAGAAAGTAAGGAAGCAAAGAAAGAAACTACATAAATGGTAAAGAAGAAAGACATAAATGACAAAGGTGGGATGAAGGAAGGAAACAAACTGAAAGAACAGCCCCATGATAGTTTGACCATCATAATATGATTCCTTGACCATGAGAACCTAGCACAGTAACTGTTGAAGATATGTCAAACGCATTGCTCCTGCACAGAATCAGCAGAGTTTCAGCTAGAATTTGACCTTGGTTGTAAGTCAGTATGTCTTGTCTCAGAGGAGTGAGTTTTCCACGAGCCCTTAAATGTGAGCATTGTGGTTTAGCACACCTGGAACATTACTTGGCTCCAGATCAGACTTTGGTGTGTGGAATTGCCCCTATCTCACATGGTAAAGAGTCCAATAATCCTGGATCCAGATGATGATCTGGAGCAGCTCTGGATTCTAATGTATTGTTCTGTGGGCCATACTTTCCAAAACATTTCACCCAAATCCATTCATCACTGTTTGGTTATGCTGGGATCAAACCAACAAATAAACAAATGCCTGTTAAAAACATTATCTCCACCCTGACTGAGGTAAAAACAAAGAAACCAGAAGAGGAGAAAAAAGAAGACAAAGGAAGACATAAGGAAGAACAGAAGCAACGAGAGAAAGATGGAAAGAAAAGAAAGAAGGAAATGTCGAAAGCAGGAAAGTGGAAAGAAAGAATTTCAGAAATGTGAGAAAAAAGTATTTGAAGGAAGGAAGCAAAGGCAGAAAATAGGAAAAACAATAAGGAAAGAATAAACATCAACTTCAATACTACAGTGAGTATAAAATACCTGTCTTCTACACAACCTGCACAGTGATGAAATCTAGCCCAGTTTAACATAAGTTCAGCATTATAGTGTGGCAGTAGATGAAAAGTATTTACAATACAACCTGAGGGGAACATGAATGCATGTACTAAATTTAATGGCAATCCAAACAGTTTTTATCCAGACATTTTGTGTTAGCGTCATGGTGACCCTAGAAGAGAAGTCCAGGGATCACCCAAGTCAGTAGGATTCATCTGCACAAAGCTGCACAACAATCAATCTGATGGTTGTTGAGTTATCTAACCAGTATTGCCATCCATAGAGCTGTGCTGCTAGCAAGGCTAAAAAAATGTGTTGACAGCAACTAACCAGTGACAAGTGGCATTATTAGATGTCAGGTATGCAGTACTGCACAAATGTTTGAGGCGCTTTAGAGGTTTAGATTCTTATCAGTCACACAGGACGACGGAGGGGGTGTCAGGTCGCTGCCAAAGTTTTTCTGCTGCACGACAGCAACCCCAAACACACAGCTAAGAACCTCAGCATCATGGAGTCAGTCTGGAATTACACATAGAGACAGGAGACACTGAGACAGACTAAATCCACTGAAGAACTGTGGCTGAAGAACTTCTCCCAGTCAATGAAACAACCTTCCTGCCAAATAATTTGGAAAGCTGTCCGTAAGTGTACCGAGGAGAACCGGTGCTGGTTTAAATGTGAGGGCTGATCACACTAAATACTGGTTTAAGTATTTTTTCTACTGCACTTTGTATGATGTTAATGGATGCATGAAATCTCTTCATGACATTAACTGTGAAAGCATCCTCACATTACTTTTAGTGCCCTAAAACATGAACATGTTCTGAGGTCTGTACATATGAACAACAGCTGTGCAGCTTAAGGGAACTGTGGGTGTTTCTGCTGCTTCACTCTGGACTAATCCTCCATATGAGAGGAAGGAAGTTAAACACCAGAGTCAGAGTTGGGCATAAAGGGGAGCCAAACAGCATCTATGAAGCATTTTTCGGTCTCACGCATCAGCTCAGCTCCTTCCTGCCCGGAGAGGCGTCTGCTCCATGCGCACCTGGGTGGGTACTTATTCAACCCAGGTGGTTTTAGAGCACAAGAAATATATTCAAGTCAATACAGACAATAAGTATATAATTGTATTCTCAAAGCATTATAACTTAAGTTTGACCAAAGAAACAAGTATAAAAGAACTGAGAACATTTATAATAGGCATCAGAGACACTCATCTTGTTACAGTGTGAGCCATTATGTCTAATAGAAATCAAACTGCCAGATATAGTCACATCATTATCTTGCCTTTCATGAGTACGTCGAAAAGAGCAGCCTAAAAGTTTGGAAAACTGAAACCTTTTCAGCACTAGCGAGCACATTGACTAGAATCAGTGGGACACTATACAGGAAATCGACATCCTGTTGCTTTAATACATTCATGCATTTATCACCATGAGAGGCCAGAGCAAAGCCATTAAAAGAGAATCCAGATTTAAAGTTTAAACATAGCTTAGTCTGAGTGAGTTCCATTTCGTATTATCTACTGTACAGGCTGCAGTTACGAACTTTGGGCAGTATTCTGGAGTTGTCAGACATAACAAGAAGCTAATGTAAATGCTAGTGTGTGGCTAAAACCAAAGTGCAAAACCTCTAGATGTGGCAGAAACTCAATAACACGCTCTTTCTTTGAGCCTTTCATGTGCTGCCAGTGGTGTGTCTGAAGTGTTTGGCTGTCCACAGACCCAGAGGGGCTGCAAGGCTGGCTTCGCCCTAATTCCACTACATAAAATGTAAAATGTAGTAGTGTCACAATGACGGCTGTTAATCTGTGACATGGCAACATTTGTCCAACATTGTGTTTTAAGTATTTTAACCATCCCCAGGGCCTTAACCTTAACCACCAAGTT